TACTTTGAAGAATGAATAAATATTCCATCAATAATCAATATCCACAATGCCTTTCGGTCGTCCATTCACCGTTCTCCSCGRCAATATTTGAAAMCAGCTGTATTACTTACCTGCAAAACTTATGTGTTTTTATGTAAAGTTTACTGAAGTCGCCATCGTTATCAAGTCTTTCTGATTCGATGTCYTTCGCCATTTCATCAGCRACATATTTTGGAAGAACAGAAAGAAGGAGACGTTTCTGAAACGACCAAAAATATTCGGAAATGGCTTTTAAATAAATAACAATACAAAATCAATTTGGAGTAAATAGGCAATGTGCAGTAACGCTATTTTGTCAGCAACTGCATGATGGTAGTTGTGGTCCTCTATACAACGGTGTGAAACCACTTTAATTTTCACTCACAACTAGACGACCATAGATTGCTTATGTAAAATGCAAAAACTGCTTAGAAGGACATTTATAGCGGACATAAAATAGTACGAGTACTGTAACYACCGCTATGCTTAGCTGTACAAAACTGCGTCGTTACAAATTGCCTATTGGGACGATTATATCGTAGCTTGGCCTAATAGAAGGCGCACGAAGTCCCGAGTGTCAGTATTATCCTCCGGATAGTTCCCATCGCTSGAAAACTCGTTTTTGAATTGTTTTAGTTTCCATAAGGAAATAGGCGATTTGCATGATGACGTCACATGCTACCAAGACCAGAATGCTTTGCCCACTTTTTTGTTGTTGTGTAATTTGTCTCATGGAACAGCTGATTTAGATTCTTAATCCCTCTGGAGATTAGTAAAACAATTGTYACTAATTACATTACAAAAGAAAGTGGGCAAAGCATTCTGGTCTRTCTTGGTAGTATGTGACGCTATAATACRAATCATCCGTSCTTGGGAACTTCAAAAACACCCGTTTCTCGACCAATCCAAGAGCGCGTTATATACCAAATATTGYGCAAAACTACTGTACACTCAAACGTTGAATCTCGCATGTACCGACTTTTAATATGCAAATTACTTTGATCTTWATTTTTKTTCATTCGTTTCTTCTGACTTTTGCCATGAACTCGGCACATGTGAGATTTGACGGTTKATTCGAGTTTCTTACCTGCTGTAGATTCTGAGCTTCAAGGGTGAGTTTCACCTCCAATGACTGTCTTGTCTCGAGAACCGATCGCCGCTGTTTCCTATCAGCAATATGGTAGTCGATCGCTCCGAGAATATTCGCACAAATGAAGAGGAAAATGTTTGCTCCGATCTAAACGAGACCAAAAAATTAATTGTACAACCAATGAAGCCTGTYTTTCATAAGCAAAATAAATTCAAAGAATATGAATGCTTAATAAAAAAACTTATTAGAGAAAATCCCTCATCCCATATCCCACAGCAGAATGTATTTTGGCTCAAAAGATAAAAGTCTAAAAGTTTAGAGTAAATGACCTAATTTACTACTTCATTTTTCGCTAGAATATCAATATCGGATCAAAATATGATGCTTCTTGATTATAAGACGCATATAGATAGGTAGCTCTTTGTTACTTGATTTTCAAAGTAATATCAAGTTTGAATTTTAAGAGATAATAACTGTTGATATTACTATATATTTAGATTTCGTGAAAAAAACTAGACTAGTTTCACTTAGTGATTTCGTCAATACGCAGATCTTAATCCGGTTTTTCACAGTTTTCTTTCATTATGGGCATTCTTTCTGAGTTTGTTTAATCCATTGGTTCCTTATAAAATCCATTTTGTCACATTCCAAGCGGAACATTCTTTTTTTCTTTTTTCTTTTTTTTTTTTTGCTTAAAGATAGACGCTAATCCTTAGGTATAAGTTCAATTAACGAAAAAAGTAATTATTTTTAAACTGTAAACATTTGCCAATCAATTATCTATTTTTTTTAAACGGTGTGCAATAATTTTTTTCGGTGGGACTCTGACGTCACCTATTGTGCAACAGTTTCTCTTAGATGCAGCCGGGGTGAAAATTTAGCGATAGTTAAGTCATAGCACGTTAATAAATATAAATATTAGTACATTCTGCAGAATCAACAAAAATTGTATTTTGATTTAATTTTAATT